GTGTTACAGAGCAACAAGAAACAGTGGAAAAGGAAGGGCCCACAGAGGTTGAGAAGGTGGGTCCCCTGGAGGCGGGACTGGAAGCCAGGGCCTTGTGGGGAGAGAAAAGAGGGTGTGGTGTGGAGTCACAGTTGGGGAGAGAGGAACCATGCTGGAGAAGAACTGGTCCGACGAGTGGAGGAAAACTCACAAGAGGTACAATCAGACAGTCAGGGTGGGGCCATTTTGGAACATCGAGGTGCTGCCGATCTGTTGTAGTTGGCCTCGTGACCAGTTGGTTTGGCAGTTCTCCGGTGACTAAGCAGTGAGACGCTAGGCAGAACCCATCAACCCTGAAGAATTTGGCCTGCATAACAGAACGGTCACATCACTTAAATCCCTCATCCTAAATAACATTGGGCTGTCAAAAGGGAAGGGAGATTAATGAAGCATGTTGATGGAGACATAGATAAACAAACACTGGGACACTGACTATATAAATAACCGTAACACTGATGGACTTGGCTCACCTTTTGTATCTATTCTGAAGGGAAAGGATCAGTTGGGTTTACATGAAGTTGGAATCGGCCAAGTTTCAATGATGATTCTATCCTGTCTCCTTCCAACAGAGTAATCCTGATTTGCCAAAAGGACAAAAGCTTCGCTATCGCCTTCCAGCTGTTGCTTTCATTTATGCAAATGCATCAAGCATAGAAATAGGAATAAAGGCCACAAATCCATTGTGCAAATCACTTTCTCGTCACCACCATCAGGAAATAGTGAAACTACTGTTTTCTAAATTGGGGGAGGTGGGAGAACTTTAGACAGTAAAAGCGTGTGTGGACTGTGCATGTGATATGGCTAACAGCACCAAATATTGACTGGGCTTCAGGAATGACAACTAGCACGTTCACCAACAGCCTGTGCTCAACAGGGCTATGGGAAGAAATTGGAGGCTGAGGTGTTTAGATTTATCGTAAGCACTCCAACCTCTGGGTTAGAGAGCTGCGAATTAAGGTCCACTCTAAGAATGAGTGCTGGGTGAGGGTATCTGTTGGTAATAGACCCAATACCACAGTTAGGGAACTGGGTCACAACAACAGTGAAGAAATTACATAGCTCAGGAGACATCAGTAAGGCAGACTACCAATAAAAAAATGGATCCAACACACTCCACTTCTATGGACTTCCTAAGGTACACAAGCCAGGGATCCCCCTCAGACCCATTGTCTCACTACCAGGCACACCAACATATAGACTAGCCAAAGAACTACAATGGAAACTGAAATACTTAGTTGACAACACTAACCTTTCCGTCCACTCCTCCCAAGAACTCCTCATCATCAAGGACACCAGAATAGAAGAGAAAGAGATAATAGTAACAGCACTATTTACATCCATAAACCAATTGACCTAGTTAAAGAGAGAATTGCCACACTGCTGGATGAATCAGGAAGGCAGGCACCCCATGACACAGTCAGCATCAACAATGACAGCACCCTGAAACTGCTGGATCTGTGCCTCACAACCCACTCTACCTTCAACGGCCATATATTTATATCAAATCAAATCAATGGTACACCAATGGGATCCCCAATATCAGGGCTGACTTCAGAAGCAGTAATGCAAAGGTTAGAATGGACAGCGCTCCGTACTATACAACCCAAACTCTGGGTCCGCTATGTAGATGACACCATCGTGATTATCAAACACACAAGACTAGAAGGAACCCACCGACATAAACAACATCCTCACCGGAATAAAACACAAAAGAAGAGAACAGCAACCGAATACCCTCCCTGGATGTAATGGTGGAACGCAAGAACAGACTAGCGTCACATACACAGAAAGACCACACACATGGGCCAGAGACTTAATTACACCAGCAACCACCCCAACACCCACAAACAGAGCTGCATCAGGATATTATTCAAATGGGCCACAACACAAGCAGTTTTTAAAAGGAATGGATACCCAAAAACCATCACCCGCCACTTCCGCTGCGACAGACCACAGTAAGACAACACAACACAGCCAGACACACTAGTCACCCTACTGTACATCAGGGCCATATCAGAGATGACCATAAGACTACTCAGGTACCCTGGGTATCAGAGTAGCCCACAAAACAGCAACCACCCTGTGACAGCTACTGACGAATGTAAAGGACCCCATACCCACAACCAATAAAACTAATGTAATATACAAAGTACCATGCAAGGACTGTGAGAAACTTTACATAGGTCAAGCTGGAAGAAAACTGACAATACAGATACACAAACACCAACTAGCCACCAAGAGACACAACCAATTCTCACTGGTCTCAATACACATGGACATAGAAGGACATGAATTCGACTGGGACAACACATCCATAATAGCACAAGCCAAACAGAGACATGCCAGGGAATTCCTGGAGGCTTGGCATTCCAACCGGAACTGTCAACAAACACATTGACCTGGACCCAATATACAAACCACTGAAGAACAAAACGAGAAGTTAGACTAACAACCCCAGAAAACCGAGGCAATAACAAGCAGGAGGGAACACCAGCGCCTCACCGGAGGTGCACTGACAATGTTCCCTAGCAAGGTGACGAAAATTCTGCAAACACACCGGCTCGGTGAGCAAGTCTACAGCCACACACAAAATTCTACAACACAGAGAGAGGCTATTCAGTTCCATTGAGCTAGTCCAGGCTTAAAGGAGAGATATCCCCTTAGTACCAATCCCTTTCTCTATAATTTCAGTTTCAATCTTTTATACAGATGTTCCAAGTTTCTCTTGTAGCAATTGTTCAGGATTCTGCTTCCACATTCATTCTGGCCAAGAATTCCATGAGCCAATAACCCTCCTGTAAAAATAATTCTCCTGCCCTCTCTTGGTGATGATCCCATATTTAGGTCATGGAATCACAGACTCACCAATCAGTGGAAAACAATTCTGCCCCCCAGATATATCTGATCGACACATCATGATCCCAAAACATCTATCAGATTGCCTCTTCACCTTCTCTGCTCAAATGAGAATAATTGCAGTTACTCCTCATAATTGAACCCCATGAGCTTTTAGTCCCATACGCTTTCCTAATTTGATTCCTCTACTGATCATGATTATATTAAAGCCCTCCCTTCCTTTAGCCTCTTGATATTCTACTATTCTTGAGAGGTTTTTGCATCTACGTGAAGACATTACACAGAAGACTGATTCAAACTTTTTGTCATCTTTGTTCACCATTATTAATTTCCCAGTCTCTCACTCTAAAGCAACCACACTTACTTTAGTTACTCCCTTCCTTTTTTTAATAATTGTAGAAGCACATGTGGTCTGTTTTGCTAGTTTTCTCTCATACTCCAGTTTCTCCATTTTTTTGGAAGTCATCTGTTGTCAATTTCTAAATTGTGCCCAATCTTCTGGGCTGCCACTAATCTTTGTAGTGTTGTTTTTTTTTTTCTTTGAATTTCTTGTCATTCTTAACTTGCCCAGTTAACCATGGATGGTTCAACCCCGCCCGCATGTTTTTATCACTGTGGAACAGGTCTTTGTTGAAGAGTTACGAAAAATATTCTTAAATGTCTGCCATCGCTTCCTCATCATCTTACCTTTTAATCTATTTTCCCACTCCAGTTTAGCCAAATGTATCTGCATATCCTTATAATTGCTTTAATATAAATTTAGGACTAATTTCAGACCCAAATCTTTCAACTTAAACTGAATATGAAATTTTATCATGATATGTCTACTCTCAGAAAATCCTTCACTATCCTTTATTTCTTCCTAAGGTAATAGTGATCTGCCTAAAGCAATGTATCATCTGCTCATTTCTACAGCTTGTGGTCTTGGAGTTTCCATTTCAGTTGCTCATAGAGGCTTCCTATTCACAACTACAATGTGCAGCCTAACAGGAAAAGTTAACTTGAGGTGGTTTCTCGTTGCTGCAGCCATTGAGTTTTGAGATTCTAGCTCCCCTGCCATTATGGTCAAAATAAAAACACTGGCTTTGCCTTAGCCATGGCTTTAATCTGAAACAAGAGCAATCCTAACTTGGGCCCAGGGTGACCCCTGCCCTATATTCGAGTCAAATTATAAATATATAATATAGAGTATTGGCCCCAACCTCACCCCAAGGGGCACCATTCTACCTTGTAGGAGGAGACCATTCAGCTTTTCAAGACTCTTCACCAGCTGGAGGAAATTAAATTCAATTTCTTAAACTATTGCTGATCTGACCTTGATTCTAGTTACTCCCTCAAACATTGCACTTGGCAGTGAGACAAGATAATTTAACCCATTTTAATCCAGTGAGGTCCCCTTTAGTGCTTATTTTTATTCTTTACACTTGGGACGCAAGTGTTGCTTGCAAAGCCGGCATTTGCCCTTGAACAGCAAGCTCTGCGTTACATCTCTAGGGCAGTTAAATGCTAGAGGCAATTCAGAGGACAGTTGAGAATCAACCATGTTGCTGTGAATTTAGAATCACACATTGGTGAGACCCGGTAAGGATAGCCAGACCAGGTAAGAACAGCTGATAATCTTTTCTCTTTACAAATTTCCTTCCCTGAGCAACATTAGTGAACCAGATGGGTCTAACCATTACCATGACTGATGGTCCGTTTTCAATTCCAGAAGTGCTCTTACACATACAATGTTGTTTCCCCCTCCCCCAACATGAAATATTCTTTTCTCCCCAACTATAAACCACCACCAGTAAATAATTTGTGTTTGCCTGATTAATTTACGTTGAGCCCAATACAATTCATTAAAAGACAAGGGACAGACAGGGAGAGGAGTCAATTCCATGTTTGATTAAAAAGAATATTAAAATCCAGCCACCACGGTGAGATCTGAAATCATACCACTATTGTCCTATTAGCCTGGGCCTCTGGGTTACTAGTCCAGCGATATTACCTGTCACTATCTCCCCCTAAAATCTCAGGAAAGCATCACTTACAGTCTCACTCATTGGGCAGGAGCAGTGTGCATAGGTACAAGTGGTTAAATGATAGAATTCTTTCCTTACTGAGTTCAGCAATGCTTCCCACACGGGTGACCAGTAAGGACTGTTCAATAGCTCGGAGTTCAGACTGACTGTACATTGGTGTTCCTTCAGACTTGCACATCTCCCTGTTCAAGTTCAGGGTCTCGGGCAGGCTCAGGATTCCTGGAAGAAAACCAAGATGAGAAAGTCTTAAACACAGGGCGCCAACTCTTTGTAGTTAGAAACAGGCCATTTTAAGAAAGTGTTAATATCCTGTATAGAAGGACGAAAAGCTCAACATCTCTATAAGAAGCCAGCATCGGCTCAATGTCGGTGTCTACAGAGATATATGGAATTTTAGCCAGTATTATTAATTTGCCTGTGTAGCATTGATTTGCGACATACAGCAAAAATCAAGCTAGCCACTTCAACAAGGGGTAAAATCCAAGCCCTTTTACCCATCATAAAAAAGCCGCATTGTCAGAGACTGATTGTGTTTAATCTACTGCCCCCCTTTTATCTCCGTGTTCCATCTGAAATATCCTTCCTGAGCAAGATCGACGGATGGGAAAGCTGGGAATTGCTACAAGTTCCTTGTGAAAAACTCCACTGGTCGAGTGGAAGCCTTTGACAACCACAGTGAGAGTGGTCCTTGCTAAACAAGTTCAGCAGAAGCCAGGGCACATGCACATTGCTGGGGCTTCAGTACAAACCCATTCTGCATTTGTGGAGAAACACAAACAATGCTGCGTATTACTGAGGACTGTCCCCTATATAGACTAAATGGTGGACTAGTCACCTTAAATTCAGCGAACGAGGAAGCGATTGCTTGAGTCAATAAATAAACAAGGACAAAAATTCAAATGTGTTACTCAACACACACCCATTGTTGGATCATGGGCCAATAAATGGCTTCAGACTATGGTCGAGTGTGGGTGCATGTGTTTGGCGAGGGGTTTAAGGCCATTCTGGATCACAGTTATGTTGGCAATGACACTGTCATAGGACTGAGAAGTTAAACAATCTTCTCTCGACAATAAACCAGTTCAAACTAAAACACAAATTTTCCTTGTTGTCAGTAACTCTCCAAACTCATCTGATGATCCAGTTATTGTCTCCAGCTGTTTTTGGCTTTACATCACTCGGTTTAATGGATTCCTGCTGCTTTCAAACCTAGTGTGAGCACACAACACCTCTTTACATTCCCCAGCCTGTAAAGCAAAGTGATGGTGAAGGCTTAAAAAATTCCCGACAGTAGAAACAGATACCACTCAGGTCAGGGGAGCACCAAATCAGTCATCACTGATTTAAGAAATGAGTAACTCTTTGAGGGCCCTGTTTTGGAAAATTGTCATCATTTGTTCACTGATGATGTTCTCCCCAAATAAATTTGCAAAGGCAGATCTCTGGAGCGAAGCCTTGAACCCAGCCCCTACTCCAAAACTTTTGCAAATAGTGACATTTTTCATTCAGGTCCAACGACAGGGAATAACAATGACTTTGTATTTATAAAGACACTTTTCAATATGTTTTAAAACAGGGAGACAATGACTGATGACTGCTGACTGCTGAAACCAGAATTTTGTCAATGACATTTCTGCTGCACACAACGTTCCCATTTACAAACCTCGGACTCTTGCCCTCTGCCTAAGTTGATGCCCCTGTTGTAATGCCACAACCCCAAATACTGTGCGACCCCTCAATGCCCAGATACTGGAAAGCACCAACGAGAGTTTGGTCAACTCGCCTATTAAAGGTTGTGTGGGAAAATTGCTTCGCCACTTGTCAAAAAGCCCTGAAACTGTGAAGTTGCTGAAGTGTAGGTTTGGAAAAGGGCAAAATAGTGGCACCCATTGGAGCAAAGCGGCTGATACACCAAGACAACAACATACTGAAGCAGACAGACAAACTCTTAGGGCTACCCCTGACCGTGACCTCTCACCTATGCGAGTGAACCAGAATGTTTCAGGGATTTTCTCAATACTTTTTGAGCTTGTCCAAATGTCCAAGCTCAATTTAACCCTTCACACTTCAGGAACTAAGCTCTCTTCCTAGCCAGGGATACAGAGCCAAACATGTTAATAGCATCAATACCATTATATCTCTGCGTTGAAACTTTAAGAACAGACAAAATTAATACTACTGCTCCCGTGTCTTCCCATAGCCTGCTATCAACCCCAAACTAATCCCAGTGCTCCACTCTCTCCCTACGGTCCAGTGTCAAACTAATCACTCTGTCCATTGTGTTCTCTGCATAATACTGTATATACTCCTATTTATACATTATCTTATTTCAAATCAGAGGATGCACGGGTCTTTGGTTAAACCATACCCTATACAAAAATAGCCTTACGTGGAAATTTTTCTCCAAACCGTCCAGGCAGTTCCAATGAGCATTTTAGATTTGTTCGTCAGAAAATGTGGTGAGGTGGGTGTGAAATCTGGAGTGAAATGATGACAAAGTTTATTCAACACCTTTGTTCTTCAAACAAGGTTTGTGCAACACTCAATGGAGAGATATTCTTTTTACTATGGGATCGAAGGCAGTTTGATTTTCACACTGATGTCGTGAAAGTTTTATATAACACTGGGTGATTACGCAACTCACTGACATTGCTGCCTTGGGGAGAAATGTGATGGGATTGGAAAGATAGCACCAAGACAATATTGCTTGAAAGAATATTGCAGATAGTCAGGTCCGATCCAGAACCTGATTCAGCGAGTGTGTCTGGTTGAGCTGATGTTATTGGTTTGTTGCCTTGTGGGTAAATCATTGTAAAGATAAAATGACAAAGACAGTGATACGCGTACTGTCAAGAACAGGTATTCAACTTCCAACCTTCACCAAAAATAATATTTCCCGGTACCTTTTTTTTAATAAAAAAAAATGGCCAGGCAACTTTTTTTTAAAATTAAAAAATACACTTGTTAACATGGGTCCATTTAGCTTTATAGAAAGACAGCACAGAAGATGAAAGATGACAGCAAATGCTGAATTCAATGTGGGGAGGGGGGTGGAGGGAAGGAGTTAGAGGATTGGTATTTCTCTTTGTCCCAACCTTCCCACCCTAATTGGGTTCTATTTCACTGGAAGACATGGGGAGGGTCTTGTGATGCAGTAGACGTGCCCATACCTCCGGGTTCAAGCTCCACCTGCCCCAGGCGTGTGCCATTTCATGTCGGAACAGGTTGATTAAAAATATCTAGAGGCACTGGCAGTAAAGCCATACACCTGAGGATATTGTCAATCACAGGAAACCACGCCATTGCACAACAGGTAGCTGACTTCCATACCAGAAAGTGAAACCCATCCTTCGCTTTGATAGGCTGCCAAGCAACAGACTTGCCAGCAAAGCTGAAGGCAGTGGAATCAACGGGATAGCAGGAGAACAGATATAAAGTTGACTGAGCGATAAGAGACAGAGAAGCGGGCAACATCTGTTTTTTGGAGTGGATGAAAGTATACAATGTTCCGAGACTCTGGAAACCCCTTTCTTGGTTCATACTGATGACCTAGATTTGGGAGGACTGGGCACAAATTTCAAAATTTGCAGGAAGACACTAAAATTAGAAGCAGTATGTAGGGTGCAGAGAACAGTGATAGATTGCAAGAGGACACAGGCAGGCAAGTTGGATGGGCAGGTGAAATTTAGCCCAGAGAAGTGTGGGTTTATTTCCCCGAAACATCATCAATAACCAAAAACGAGAATTTATGACTAATCGACAGTTTTGGCCAAAATCCAGATTCTTCACAGAAATCAGAATCCTTTAGAGGCTGAATACTTGTACAACCAATACTAGAAATACCCAGATCTGGCAGCATCTATGGAGAGGGGTACAGGGTTAACATTTCAGTTTAATGACCTTCTACAACCGAATTAAAATTTTCATAATCATGGTGGGATTTGAACTCATTTGGATTATTAATCCTACAACAGAACCTAAACGCCACTAAACTAGGCATCTTTACTTTGCCATGTATGGGGACACATGAGGCCATTACCAAGGTTGTTGTAGGTCAGCGAGAGGTAGCAATGGGACATTTGTTATCTAAGCATTAAAAGCTCGTTAATGAATCAGCACGTTACTGGAAATAATGCAGCTGCAACCATTACATTTATTACTCGTCAATCTCTAGTGATAACAGAGGGAGAGTCAAGAATCAAAAATAGCCCTGGGGTGAAGTGCAGTCAGCTGATATAGGAATATTCAGAAGTAACTGGTCCTCATCCTCGTAAGAATTTATAACTGAAAAAGTTAAAAGGAATTGCATGCATTTATTACAACAGTCACTCCACTTCAGGATGTTCTTAATTGGCTGTAAAATGCTTTGGGATGTCTCATGTTCAGGAAAAGGTGTTACGAAAATGACTGTGTCCCTTTCTGATACAAGGTTTGGACATTGAAAGACGCAACGACTAATTAGCCACAGAAGCTCCTAGATTTTTTTTTACTAGGCAAACAGTTGAACGAACAAAGGTTGCTGCAGAATATAGGAGTTCTTTATTCAGCATCTCCTGCACTTATTAAAATAAATCAAAGCTCTTGGATTGTGTGGTTTGACTGTGCCAAAAGAAATAAAAACTCAGTCAATCAACAACATCAAAAAACCACATTGGATGTGGTTGAGTTTGGGATGGCTGTAGTCTGGATCCCAGCTCTCATCTTCCAGTTTCTTCCAGTGGGTGTGCCCATGGCTTGTGTTGTTTTGTTTGACGTTCAGCTAATTCAGATAAATCAAAGCTTTCAGCAGGAGTGTCAAGTTGAGCAAAGACAGATCAAACTCTGCTCTACAGTTTAAGCTTCCACCAAAGTTGACTCACGAAATACACAATCCTCAGAAAAGAAGAAGATCCCAGTTAACTAAGAAAAACTGAAAATGTCAGAAACTCTCAATAGACCAGGCCAGGACTGGAGACAGAAACAAGCTTATGGTGTAGAGGATAGGAGATCGGCATGGATAGAAACCAGACTGGCTAACGGAAAGCAGGGAATAGGCATAAATGCAGAGAGATCTGGTTGTCTTGGTGCATGATTTGCAAACTGGTACACTGGTGCAGCAAGTAATGAGGAAAGCTAATAGAATGCTGTCATTTATCACAAGGGAAATTGAAAACGGAGGTAGGAAGGTTATGCTTCATTCATACACCATATCTGGTTTATGGTGTCCAGACTGATCACCT